CCTGAGGTGCCTCCCCACCCCAGCGCACCTCTGCTATGCCCCCTCCACAAGCACGCCGCCCCTGCCGGCAATGACAATAATTGCATGGAGCGGCCGCTGCACTGGGAGAGGGAGTCTGAGCCGCACGTGTCAGCGTGCCGCTGACAGCTCAGCCCAGGAACGCTGTAAAAAAAAAAATTGGGTGCACCGCTTTTTGGCGCCCCCAAATCTTGGAGCCCTAGGCAACCGCCTAGTTTGTCTTAATGGTAGCACTGGCCCTGCCTGGGACCCACCCCCATCATGGGGTCCCAGAGCTCAGCCTTCTGCCTGAATGTCTACACCGCAATTAAACAGCCCCTTGGCCCAAGCCCTGTGCCCCCGAGTCAGCTGGCATGGGCCAGCCACGAGTGTCTAAGTGCAATGTAGAGACACCCGTCAGTGCACACAGCCTAAAGTTAGTGCACAGTAAATCCTTGTGTAGCCAAACCCTTCTGAGCTGTATTAGCAGGAGTGATGTAAGCAAGACACGAGAAGTAATTCTTCCGCTCTATTCCGCGCTGATTAGGCCTCAACTGGAGTATTGTATCCAGTTCTGGGCGCCACATTTCAGGAAAGATGTGGACAAACTGGAGAGAGTCCAGAGAAGAGCAACAAAAATGATTAAAGTTCTAGAAAACTTGACCTATGAGGGAAGATTGAAAAAATTGGGTTTGTTTAGTCTGGAGAAGAGAAGACCGAGAGGGGATGTGATAACAATTTTCAAGTACATAAAAGGAGGAGGGAGAAAAATTGTTCTCTTTAACCTCTGAGGATAGGACAAGAAGCAATGGGCTTAAATTGCAGCAAGGGTGATTTAGGTTGGACATTAGGAAAAACTTCCTGTCAGGGTGGTTTAGCACTGGAATAAATTGCCTAGGGAGGTTGTGGAATCTCCATCATTGGGGATTTTTAAGAGCAGGCTGGACAAACACCTGTCAGGGATGGTCTAGTTAATAATTAGTCCTGCCTTGAGTGCAGGGGACTGGACTAGCTGACCTCTCGAGGTCCCTTCCAGCCCTTTGACTCTAAGAGCCACATTGTTAAAGCAGGAGAGCCAGGAGCCAATGTAAAGCTGTGTGTCTATTGTTGCAAGTGCACTTATAGTGCCTATGTGCACACCAATGGCAGCTGCACAGCTAGCTAGAAAACCAGTACCAATATCACAGGAAGGGTTAAAAATGTTTTGTTTGTTTACTTATTTATTTACTTATTTACATTTCAACAAATGCAGTGTTGAGCCCAGTTGCTGGTCAACAACCCCCCAAGATGCAGACACAATTTTTCATTGGAATTTATTTTGTTAACAGAAAATCTAATTTTCAACAACAAATGTCATTAAAAATGGAAAATTAAGCAAACTTTGGCCAGAGGTAGCAGTTGGGTTGTGCAAAATTTCTCTACTATTATGTCTGAGTGTTGGACTCCATGGAGGAAACACTTCCCCTCATAAGTGTTTTGTTTTGGGGCTATTAAATACAGGCAGTCCTCAGACTTATGACGTTCGATTTAAGTCAAATGGCACTTACAAGGCTTCTAGATTGACACCCTGAATCAACTTACGACTATAGGTTTTGAGTTTACGACGCTCATCCCACAATGGAGTAGTTGCGGTTCCGAGTTACAACGTTCCGACTTACGACGCAATTGTAAGGAACCAATTGTGTTATAAGTCTGAGGACTGCCTGTATTCACGTATGAGATGGCGATTTGCCCCCCCCATACGACAATAAATTGCAGAACTAGATGATTGCTGCCTTGTGAATTGACTGAGAAGAAGGGAAATCTAGGTGTGGAACTGCTGTATTTTATTAAGACGGGGTTTGTTAAATTAATATCCCTATTAGTTTCTTGGGGAAAGAAGGCAATCTTGATGTACAGCTTTCAGGTTGAGACCAATGGACTTATGTCTTTTGAGATCATAACATGACACATAATGATGGAAGATACGAAATCTGAATTATTCTGTTCTCTCTCCCTTTTGCTTATTTCTTGTAGGTCTTTGGAGGCCTTGTCTGGATCCTGGTGGCCTCAACCAGGGTAGATTCTCCATTACTGCAAGGCTGGGTTATGTTTGTCTCCGTGTTCTGCTTCACATTTTCAACTCTTCTCATGTGCCTCTATTTCTGTGGCGCTCATGGTGGAAAATCTCCTTGGATCGCAGTGGTAAGCTGATCCTGTCTTTGTATAGCTCACTGACACATACAGTCTGAGCACTGTGGCCCTGATCCAGCCAACACTTAGGCATGTACTTGAATCAATGGGACTATTCATTGGTGTCAAGTGAAGTTAAGCATGTGTGTTGGCAGACTGGGTTTATATGCCTCTCACTGTGCCATTGCAGGATTATCAAAAGCTGCTATCAGGCCCTGAATCCAGAATAAGCAGCCTCCGTTGCTGCTGGCGCAGGAAGCCCAGCAGTTGTGCATATTGCATCTGTTCTGATGAGCAATTAGCAAAGCTGTGTTTTGCATTTCACTATAGCCCCAGGAAGGGACTGTAGTCCACACCCCTCCTGATGTACCTCCCTTCCCTCTTCTCCTCCAAAGCCCTTTCTTTCCGGGGAGCCTTCTGCCCCCTCTGAGATGTCAGCCATTGATAAGCTATAGCGCCACATGCAGGGAAAGGATGTTCTTATGCACTAGATGTTGGCACAGGACTTGGAAGATCAGAGTTACAGCTGGTTGGGAATGTTCTGTCAATTATTTTCACAGGAAATAGTTTTTGCAAAATTAAAATTTTCCACAAGATGATTTTGAATTTGCTGAAACTTTTCAATTTTCTTTCAGGAAAATCAAAACAAAATATTTTTGCTTTGGGTCAATTCACCACTAAACTGCATTCCCAATGGGGATGCCATTGCCCTATGGGAACTGTAATTCAAACTGCTCATGTCCCCATTCGCTTATGGGCGGATCTCCCTGGCTGGACCACACCTCCCATGGTGCAACACCGGTTCTACTCTGACGGAGCCCCATGGCGCACACCATGTGAGACACATGAGTTCAGGTGTATCATGGAGGATGAAGTATGGCTGGGGAGCTCAGCCCATTGGGGAGAATGGAGGCCTGAGATGCCCAAACTACAACTCCCATGAGGCAATGCAGTTTAATGTTGAACTGACTTGAAGTGAAATGTTTAGGGGTCAATTCAACAAACTGAAATGCAACTTTTCACTGTTTCCAAAATGAAATGTTTTGAAAACTTGTTCTGGGGAAAATTTCAATATTTCATCTTTGTCCCAATTCAGCGGGGAGAGGGGGAGTTGAAATATCAGAACTTCCCATGGGATGGCAATTCCGATTATTGCTCTGTCCTGACCCGAGGTCTGTTTCTCGGTCTGCTACAGACTCCCTGAATGACCTCAGGCAAATCTCTTTGCCTCAGTCTCCCCATCTGTTTAAACAGGAAAGCTACTTCCCTCCCTCTCAGGGGTGTTGTGAGGGGCTCAGACATGACGGTTCAGGAGTGCCCTAGAAAATCTAATAATCCCAAGTTTCCCTCCCTCCCTCCCTCTCCACTGGAACATTCCTCCAGTGTCTTGGGAGGTGGGACGAAGAGGTCCTCCATGATGGCGAGCTGAGCAGGGTGGAGCCAGTCTCCTCAGGAGTCATTGGTGGAAGAGGACAAGATGGCTCCTGGGCTCTGGGGCCCTGCCCCTCCTGCCATAGCCCCGTACTGACTGGCCATGCCCTCCGGGGGCCCTGGCACACGGAGCAGCATGTTAGCCAGGCCCTTGTACCATTCAAGACAGTGCCAGGTGGGGATGTAACTGCTCTGCTCCTCCCTGGGATCACTGGGCCCTCACTTAGGGTTGCCAGGCATCTGGCTTTTGACTGGAACACCCGGTCGAAAAGGGACCCTGATGGCTCTGGTCATTAAAAGTCCGGTCAGTGGCGCAGTGGGGGCCCGGGGCTAAGGCAGGCTCCCTACCTGCCCTAGTGCCGCGTGGCTCCCGGAAGCGGCCGCCAGGTCTCTGCAACCCTTAGGTGCTGGGGCGGCCATGGAGGCTCCGCACGCTGCCCCCACCACAGTGACCAGGGCAGGCAGCGTGGCTACAGTGGCAGAGATGTGGTACAACTGGGATTGGTGGTTTTGTTGTTTGTTGTCTCAGCGGAAGGGCATGGCCTGCGGTAACTGGGAGCTCAGCTCCCTTGCAATGAGGCCTGCTCCGAGTGGCCTTCCACACAGGCGTAACATGGGGGAGAACAGCCTCCATATACCACAACCCTGTGGAAAATTGGGGATTTTGCCTTGAGTCCCCCTGTCTGCTCTCTTACTTATTGTTTGTATTACTGTAGCACCTAGGAGTTCCAGTCACAGGCCAGGCCCTGCTGTGCTAGGTGTTGTACAAACACTGAACAAAGAGTACCATCTTAGTGAGATCAGAATTTCCAGCATATGGTGGCAGAATGGGTTTCCATTTGCCCACTGCCAGTTGGCCCCTGCAACACTTCTTATAGCACGTACAAGAGGCACTGATATCAGTGGAGATGGAATCACAGGTGGAGATGCAAAGACCCAGATCCTCAAAAGTATACAGGCACCTAACTCCCTTTCGGAGTGGCCCGTTGGGAATTAGGCACCTAAATATCTTTGAGGATCTGGGCTACAGTGCAGCTCCTGCCAAAATCTATTTGCCAACCTGCCAGACTTGGACAGGATCACATTTGCACAAACCACTCTGGCCTGAGTCTTAAGTTAAATGAACTAGTTGTGTGGGGGCTGTGTGTGCTTTCATCACGCTGCCGGAAGAGTGTGTGTGTTTGATTCGAGTACCTTTTTCTCTCTCTGACCTGAATGGCATTCCTGGAAATGATTGTTAATTATTATTGTTTTCTAGGATGCTTTCTATCATTCAGTGGCTGCTCTGTTTTACCTGAGTGCTGCTGTTTTACAAGCCACTGCCACCATTGGGGCCCAATCCAACAGCGACAATGCCTCTCAATTTAAAATTTACCAGGAAGACATTGCAGCAGTGGTAAGTGTCAAATAGCTTTCACAGTGGAGGGGTGAACAAAATGTATTGGCGGGGAGCCCCGAGCCCTTTAAATCCCAGCTGGAACTGCAGTGGGGATTTAAAGGGCCCGGAGCTCCGCGGCGGCCGGAACCCTGGGCCCTTTAATTTGCACGTGAGCCCTGGGGCTCCCAGCCACCTCTGCAGCTGGGAGCCCCGGGTTGTTTTAAAGGCCCTGGGGCTCCCAGCCACCTCTGCAGCTGGGAGCCCCGGGTTGTTTTAAAGGCCCTGGGGCTCCCAGCCACAGCCCCAGGACCTTTAAATCTTGAGAGGCCCCACCTCTTCCGGATGAGGCCATGCCTCCCTCAGGACTCCGGCAGTACCAGTAAGTCCTGTAAGTTACTTTCACCCCTGGTTCAGCCCCATTGAAAGAAATGGCAGATGGCAGCCATTTGAGAAAGGGGGAAAGTGTGTGAGACGCCATCAGAGATTGAGACCCCGCCTATTGTGAGATACTCACAATTAGTATTGTGAGGATGAGGGAAACCAATTCAAAAGCACCTAAGTGACTCAAGAACTTGACCCCCATTTTCAAAAGTGACATCTGCACTTCAGAGCCTAAGTGACTTTCAGTGGCACTTGGATTCTAAATCACTTAGGTGACTTTGAAAATCTTACCCTGAGCAACTCTGGAATGGAGTCACTGCTTTTGGGCTCCAAGTACTGTACTGGTTAATACGAATACTGCTGAATGGGCAAACATAAATAAAAGTGCAAATCCAGTGTAAGCAAACAATATCCTTTAGCAATTAACTGTAGCTGACTCCAGCTGTTTCCATTGTAGGTATTTGCATTTTTAGCCACCTTGACGTACGTGATCCATAAAGGGTTCTCTCTGCTGAGATGGAAATCATCATAAAACCTCCAAAGCTTCCCCTAAGCCTTAAGGAATCCATCTTGAGCATCCTTCCCAGTTACGATCCAAGCATACGTCGTTACATGATTGCTCGTCTTACACTGGTATACTGTGATGTACAGACTACTATACATTGCTTTGGACTTGGTACCATGACAATGAAGAAAAAATCAGCCTGGAGATATCTATTTTTCAGCAAAATGGTTTCTTTTTGGTGTCTTCTAAGTCAGACACAGTTTTGTTGTAGGGAACTGGGAACCTGCTTTACTTCTCTCTGTTTTGTCCGATCTCCCTGGGACTGGGCCAGCTGTTGGAATGAATCAAGGGCATCTCTCAATCCCCTGCCAGTGAAGGGAGCCTCGGGCTTTGGTGGAACTTTGGTCTCAACAGTTTAGCCTCCTGAGGACTGAAATGCTTTAGTCTAAATCAAGTCTGTGGGCTTAATATCGGGGTATCTGGGTGAAAATTAACTGGCCTGTGAAATTCAGGGAGGTCAGACTAGATGATCTAATGGTCTCTTTTAGCCTCAAACTCTATGAAACTTTCAAAGGAAAGCCTCCCAACTGAGTACCTTGATTCATTCCTGGGGTCTACAAATAACGACATCATTCACCACTGGCCCATCTCTTTGCCTTCCTCTCTCTTTCAGATTACTTCCTTGGGGATTGTTTAATTTTACATAAACCACATGCAGAGTAGCTCAAAGGGGCCCCGATCCGGCATTCAGCTCCATGCAGACCTCTACTGACTTCATGGGGGCTCTGCAAAGCTGCAGGAATCTGCTTGCAGGATCAGGGCCATATTCTGCAGCAACTGTCAAAGAAAGGCGATAGTGTGTCTGTTGGCTCTTTGGGCAAGACAGACAGAAAAACGAGTGACATGTTCTGTCATTTTCTCAACACTGGGAGTGAGAATGGAGAAGAAGCAGATACACGAATTGGTAAAATTCACCACGTTGAACAGAATAATTCAAGCTGCGTCAGCATTTTTAAGGTCACAAATACGTATACGTGCTGCTCTGACACCCTGATGCCAATAGGCCAATTGCCACTGACTTCAATGGAAGCAGGAACAGGGTCTAACAACTCAAAATCCTGACGCTCTGAAAGATACATGCCACATTTTCAAACTTAGCTGCCTAATGTTAGACACCTGAAGCTGTATTTGGGCGCTTAATTTTAAGCACCTGAATTTGAATATTTGAACCAAAATATTTTCTCTTCTTGATCCAGACAGCAACAGACCTAGTACAAAATCTCCTGGTACATAGAAACACAGCTCTGGGACTTATTCATCGTAAGGGTTTTCCTTAACGTCTGTTGTAAAAGAACAGTATTTCAGGCAGTCACTGTAAACATTCTCTTCACTTTGCAATGAGAAACAGGAACAACTATTCTGCTTCCCTGGGGGGCAATGTGAATTTTTGCAAACTTTAGGGATATTCTTGAGTTAAGAGAGCAAATTATACATCCAAGGAATTACTGTTGTCTTAATCAGATGAGGGAAGATTATTTAGATGGTGTGCTGCGTAGTCTGTAGGCTAACTTTAAAATAATGATCACTGCAATAGGGATAATAAACTATTCTCAAACAAATTGTATGGTTTGTTCATTAGGAAGAATTCACAAAGAAAATCTTTTGAAATTTACAAATACTGCATAGCTAATAAAAAAAAGTTTGACATGGATTTTCCAAAAATCTTTGTCTGTGTCGTCTTTTCATAACCGCTGCAGAGAATTTAACACCATTACACTAGGGCTGTTATGATTAACTCTTAACGTTGCTCAAAGATACATAGGTAGACTCTGGAAAGCGACTTCGCCAGGCAGGGTGCGTCTGCACAGCCCGTGGCAGTGAGGCTCCGAGTCCAACTCGTCACACCTGGGCTCACACTAACACGCTAAAAATAGCTGTTTGGGCACCGGGGCCTGGGCTGGAGCTCGGGCTCTGAATTTGCCTCCCTCCCTGAACGGCTACGCAGCTATTTTGAGTGGGGTAGCGCAAGCGGCGTGAGCTCAAGTCTGTCCACCAGAGCTCTGAGTAAATCTAACAAAGTCAATGGGATTTAGGCTCCTAAGGATGAGTGTCACAAGGGGGATTTAGGTGCCTTTTAGATACTCTGCTGCCTAGGGGAGCTCCCAACCCTGAGTTGGGCACCAGGGCTCCCTGCACAATGCAGGAGGGAGAGTCAGGTGCCTGGAAAGGGGTTCACAGAAGCCAGCCGAGCAAGCCACTAGGAAATGTGGAGGAGAGGGGTGGGGCATCAAAGAAAGTTAGGCCCTAACTGCAGGTGGGAGAGACACCTCCCCCATCATGCATTTGGGGTTCTCGCTCATGAACCCTCCCCTCGAGTTAGGTGTCTAAGCCAGGCCAACCTGTCTTGCAAGCAAGAGCTGCTCCTCCCCCCAATAGCACTTCCTGGCTGGCACCCACCTAAGAAGTGGGAAACCCAGGTTCAAATCTCCACTCTGCCTGATTTGGAGTAGAGTCTGGGTCTGAGCCCTACGTGTCTATAGGTTATTCTGGGGTGGGGCCCCCAATCTCTCCCGGTGGAGCTGCTCTATTTCCTATGACATATGTGCATTGTGCCATGACAGACGGCGCTAATCTAATCCGGCGGGGACAAGGGAAGGGGTAAGCCCAGCAGAAGGTCTAGGCACCGCCCAAGATATATGGGGGAAAAGATGGCTCCTTCCAGACTTGCTTGCAGTCACGGAGCCAGCAGAACCCCTACGTTAGCAACTGGCATAACGGGCAGCGGGCGCAGTCTGAGTCCTGCGGCACCACCAGCTCATTCACGCGTGTCCCAAACTCTTCGTTAGCTGGGGTGCGCCTCAGCCAGCGTGCCCAGCTCAGTCCGACACCCTATCAGCCATAGCACTCAAAGCACCCGCCCCCCCGCCTTCAAAAACAGATTGCAGCTGTTCGGGGTGGCCGGGGGCAGAATTGCCAGCCCGTGCAGCCAACAATAATGCCCAATCTTGCCAGTTCGTGTCCCCAACCCTTTCCTCAGTAGCACCACCACCAAGGCAAGTCCCAAAGCAACACAGCTGGGTGGCCCCAGCACCACGCAGCGCAAAAATGCCCTGTCCTCAGGACCCGTCTTCTTAATAAACAGCTCACGATCAGCTGAAAAATAACACAAATCCCTGGGTGATAGTGGCCCAGCCTCTGCAAGCTGGGCAGGCAGCACCCCCCCCCCGCCCCCCGCCCCCCCAAGGCACCCTTCCTAGGCAGTCCCTAGGGCTCGGCGAGGGCCCCACGCAGGACAGTCACCACAGGGTCTTACACCCAGCCCTCAATGTGCCTTTCTATGGGCTCCAGCACATGGTGCTTGGTCAGCTGACGCCCAGCTCCATCATGTGAGCTAGGCGGAGACCACAGCCCCTGCCCTGCTCCGGTCCCAGCCGAAGCCCTCGCTTGGGTACAGAGGTTGTGTGTTGGGTTGGGCGGTGCCCTGCAGGCCAGCGGGTCCACACACAGCGTGAGCTGGGCACACACAAAGCTGGGGTTGCCCAATTCTAACACGCAGGGTGACAGGTGTGACACAGCGAGGCGACAAGGGGGGGGGTTGCGTGGTGCAGTAGGGCCATTTTTGGACAGGGTGTGTGGAGCCATTTAATGTTGTCAACGCTCCGGCAGTTCTTGGGTGAGCTGAGACTGGCCCCCTGCTGCAGAAGATCACCCCCTCCATCGTCCCGTCCCCTGCCTGCCAGTTCTGTCCCCCCCCCTCACGTCTGACCACACGTGTGCCCGGTTCCAGCACTGCCGCTTCTGGGGCTCATTTCCCCCCCCCCCCCCGTTCTTCCAGATTGGGGTGTGTGTGAGCCGCAGCGCTGGGGCTCTTCCCAGGCCGGTGCTGCAGGGCAAGAGGGGGTGGGGCACTGCGTTTCCAGTCCAGCCTCATTGGGGGGTACCCTGAGCAGCTGGGCTCTTTCTCAGCTAGACAATGCCAATGAATGGTGTTGGCACTTGGGGAGTGGGCTGGGGTGTGTGTGTGCTTTGCCCGTCTCCTGTAAGAGCTCAGATTGGCAGCTACCCTCCCCCAAGGCCGTGGGGAAGGCAGCCAGTGGGTTCCCGCCCCGGGGCAGAGTTTGGCTGGCGCGCCTGGGTATGCAGCCGTGTGTGTTGAGGGGTGGAGGCCCTGTGGGTCGCTAGCAAAGCACGGGCACGCGCTGGGCACTGCTGGAGGCCCTCAGGCTCTGCTAACAGGGCCTGTCTGGCAGGCCCCAGCACCATGGATCGCTGGTAGGTGGAGCAGGACGTGCTGCACCACTTCCTGCCGTACGGTGCAATGGTGCCAGATGAGGCTTTCCGAGAGGGGAGCTGAGCTGTGCCAGTCTGACATCAGTGCCCCATCGCTGCCAAGCGCTAGCACCGCTCCAGCCCAGGGGAGGGCCTGTACCCTGACCCCAGGAATTGACGCTACTCAGAGCCCCAGGTGGAGCACGAACACTCACAACACCCGCGCCAACGGCCGCTCACGGCCTCTGCACAGTACGTCTGGCACCCACACGCCAGGTCAGCCCGAGAGGCAGAACTTGCTGGCACACCCAGACACGGCAGTTGGCACTGGGCAATGGTGCCACCAGGCCTCACGTGCCATCACAAGAGCCATGTATAGACAACGTGTGTTAATGGTGAATAAATGCACACGCTGTGCGCCTTGAACTTAAACTAAACGCGCACATCGAGTCTAGAGGGGCTCGAAGGCTGGCCCCGGGCAGAGGCAGACTTGCTGAGAACCTGCAGCGCGCTGACGCTGGGTGATACGGTTCATGAAGATGCTTTAAAATAAAAAGGCGGCACATTATTTTTTTAAACACTTGGTGCATGTTACTGTCCCTGGCACGCCGGTGCTGGGCTGGCCCCAGGGCGGGTCTGTGCGTACAGCTGGGCGGGGACGCGGCCCACAAAATGCAGTGAGAGCAGTGACACGCCTGCTATTGAAATGCATTCAGTCAAAGGGCAAGTCCCTTCCAGCCCCCCGCCCCCCCAACAACAGGTTTCTGGGTGCCCCCCCCCCAATCTTTATCCCCCAGCATTACACTCACAGGCCCCTCTGCCATCTTTCCAAGCCCCGGCACCCATGACTCCAGGCGTCGGATCCTTCTGTATCCTCCCTTCCTCCCCCCACTGGTCATCAGCTTCAACACCCTGCACCTTGTCCTCCACCGATTGCATCGCTGTGCCCCCCACCATGCAGCACCTGCTGCCCCTCTCCCATCCCTCATGAAAAATACCCGCTGATCCAGCTGCTCCTCCCCCCCCTCGGTAAAGGCACCTTCGTGCTGTGCCCATATCTCATGCAGGCCCCCAACGGGGTCTTAGCATTGTCCCTTGCCCCCACTGGGGCCTGGCTTTAGGTACAGGGCCGGGTCTGGGCGTAAGCTCCATCCTGCAGGCGGTGGGACATGGGCAGACACCTGGACCCACCTGGCTGCCGGCAATGGGGTGTGGCTCAGCTACAGAGATCCTGTATCCAGCACAGCCTGTAGGGTCAGACGCTCGGCTGGTGAGCACCTCGGGGCAGAGAGAGAGTCATCACCTGCATCTGTGCAAGGCTCCCTCGGCGCTTAGGGCACGTCGTGCTGAACGCTGTTACTGGCTCACAGCCCTCGTTGAAACCAGTGGCTACATCAACACACCCCCCCCCCCCCGCCACCCGCTTGCTCCAGCGCAGGCGCAACCAAGCTCCGTTATAAAAGCAGATGGCCACCGTCCAAGGCAATGAGCTGTGTCAGGCCAGGGCTAACCCTGGTCGAGTAACAGGGGTGTCTCTGGTTGCAAGCAGCGGCTAGGCAGGCATGGTGGGTGTGACCCTGTGCGCAAGCAGAGAGCGCCAGGGTATCCTGGGCATGGTGCTGGCCCGAGCGGCAGACCTGGGACTGCTGCGCAAGGCCCCTGCTGGCCCTGGCTTTGCTCTTCCATGTTCAGGGGAACAGGCCTTGGTGGCCAGTTCTGTATATACACAGGAATGGGCCTGACTCATGTCGTCGGTGTCTCAGCCACATGGAGCCACCCCCCATAGAGTGGCCGCTCAGGCCCCACTAGCAATGGGGCTGAGGGAGCCAGCCCGCGCCTTCCCATCTGGCTGTTTTAGTACAGACCCAAGGCCTGTGCCTGTGTGGGGCCAGTGGCTCAGCCCCTGCTCCTCGGAGCAGCCCCCCGGCCGCAGGAACACGAGCCGTGTGGCACTTTCAGCTCTAGCCTGGATTAGGGTTACCATATCTCATAAATAAAAAAAGAGGACCCTCCACGGGCCATGGCCACGCCCATTTCCCCACCCCCAGCCCCGCCCCAACTCCGCCCCTTCCCCACCCTAACTCCGCCCCCTCCTCCCTTCCACTCCCAGCCAGGGGGAAAGGGCTGCCCCAGCGCTACCAGCTCCATGGTTTCCCGGGCAGCCCCCAGACCCTGCGCTCCCAGCCAGCGCTTCCCCAGCGCAGCTGGTGCCCGGGAGGGGAAGCGCCCAGCCGGGGGCGCAGGGTCTGGAGGCTGCCCAGCAAACCGTGAAGCCGGTAGCGCTCGGGCTTTGGGCAGCCCCTATGCCTCCGGACCCTGTGCCCCCAGCCGGGCACTTCCCCTCCGGGGCTCCGGCGGCGCAGGGTCCGGAGGCACGGGGCTGCCCGAAGCCGGGAGCGTTCAGGCAGCCCGGCTCTTAAACAGAGCTGCCATTTTCCCGGACATGTTCCGCT